ACATGTAACTGGAGGGGGGGGGGCTCAGTCACATGCTCACTTAAACCTTCACATGACTGAAGTTGGGGGGGATCTGTTGATAGACAATTCTAATCGTCTATCTTCTTCCTCCTTTAGTTCCTTAGGTCGAGTTCAGAAAGCAGGGCAGAGTGTGCATTCTAGTAACTCTTTTCAATGAATCCCAACTAAGAGTTTGATTCGGTTGTCGCCTGAAAGGCGGTATCCTAGATGCGTCAAGCGCATTGTTTTAGAAAAGCTAGAATTTGCAGTTTGGCTTGGAGATGAAAGCATCAATGATGATGACTATGAGTCAGATGGAGCCTCAAGTTTGGGTAGCCCCGATTTGTAAGCTAAACAAAATCTGATTGAAACAGGGAGCTTGAATACGGAGGTGTTGTATTTAAAAGAAGAAAGGGCTACTACAGATTTTCCCAAGGAAGAACAAAGGGTAGGAGGTGCTGCATTTGCTAGACAGATTCCACTATCCCATCATGAGGGAGCCAACAAAAAGTCTCAAGGCGTACAAGACTTAAATGTAAGAGAATAGTTCTCTCTTGTGAGCATGGATAAGGGTGAACTAGGAAGGGGAGTATTAGGGTTGGGTTTTCAAGAGGGTAGGCTAGACGGTGGTGCTTGCTCCACCATGTCTACTCCACAGAAGTCTCCCTGTAAGGAAACGACACCAACTTCAGTCAGATTTGGCAAACAGTCTAGTCCTAGCRTTCCTTGTGCTATCCCTTTCCAACCAAGTATGGATGTCAACTTGTTTTTGGTTACTAACCAATGTAGTATGCCTAAAACAGAGGTAGCAACATCCCACCTAGAAGGTACAACAAGGGTACGATTGGAGGTGGAAGAAGGTGGAAGAGTTGGGGAAGGGTGCCTTGAAGGGAAGATGGTGTACAGAGGAACTAAACCTCCGTACTTCTCCATTCCACAGGCTGGGGGCACTAGATTAATCCCAAGGGCATGGAAGCATTACAAAATAGATCCTTTAAGTGTTACATTAGCCTCCTTCCCATTCCACATGTTGCGGCCCTAGAATCAACCAAAGGGCATGGAAGCGTCACAAAATAGATGCTTCAAGTGTTACATGAGCCTCCTTCCCAAAAAATCTCATTCTTCATGGAGTACGGTGGTGTACGGAGGAACTATACCACAGTATATGAAGAGTGCTTGTGCACTAACATCTTCTATATATTTTCTTTTTCATCTGATTGTGATAAGTTTAGTTTCTTGATCAGCTTCTCAAAACAAGTTTTAGGGTTCAAGAGGGGGTTAAAACTGAAGAGGGAAGGGGTTAGGCACCCCTCTCCCGGGTCCAATAGGTGGGGCCCACATGGAATTCCAAACAACCATAACCACAAGAATTGCAATAACAAATACCAAAAAGCATTATTTTTGTTAATTATTCATCTTTTGGTTAATTTTCTTGCTGAAACCTATTTGTAAATTTATTTATCAATTATTGATCAGCCAACTCTTTTTCTCTGAATCCGCTGAACTTGCTAATATCCCATATTTACTGAGTGAGCCATTCGATTAACAAATTAAATCCATCATGACCAAGTTTTATAATTAATTTTTTTTGTTTTTTTTATACATATAACTTTTTATCAGAACTGGACTACTCTCAATAACTGACACTTTCCCTTCCCCCTGATTTGATCTACTGACCACCGTCTGAACTATGGCATCCTCATCTATTCTTTCCACTCTTATCACATATTTTATCATTATTGTTTTTATCTAACTGGATCGTCTTCCATTATCTACTATAACAACAACAAAAAAGAAAAAACAAATAGAGGCAGGCTAGCAACTATAATCATAAGGGAAGAAGATCAATTGCATAAAAGAACAAAGGCATTCAAGATCTCGTGAGAGAACAAGAACGACAAGGTTGGGTAGGCATCAAGAGTTTATAGGAACCAATTTCACCGAGTTCCGTCAACCCTCTGATTCTCCCTCAAATCCTAATTGCGCAAAATGCAAGAAAACAAATAGTGACAAAAAGAACTAAAAAGGATATTAACTACAAAGGGGTGATATCAAGGTTTACCTAATTATGTTTGAGCCTGGAATTAGCCGACGGAAAAAAGGAGACGGTACCACAATGTTCTTAACCTCTTTCTCCTTTAGATGCTGCAAACAMTGATCTTTATGGATAGGAACTCAGCGGGATAGTTCAGAAGTAATCTCTTGAGGTGGGGATCTTGTCGGAGACTGTGAGAAGATAGATCCAAGTAGCCTCTACTGTGGTTGGTTCTGCTAGCTCAATGGATCAAACAGGGCCTGGGGAACGAGTTGAGGAGACCAGAGGTGACGAAGGAGAGGGGGGAAATGATAGGGAAGGAAACATAATGACGGAGAAAGAGAGAGTGTGAAATAAAAATCGGAGATRAAAGGGGTCTGCTGAGATCGAGAATGTCGTCGAATTCAGATCCACCGCTRCAAATCTTCCACTTCCGCCAGTGGGAAGATGAAAGGAGAGATGACGACCGGAGAGAAATGTGGAAAGGGATAAGGAGAAGAAGGAGGGAGTGAATGAAACAAAAGAATGAAAGAAACCGAAGAGTGGGAGACTAAYCCGCCACTCCTTTGTTCGACGGAGATCAGAGATGATGAACAGTGCCCTCTCTCCTTCTTTTTCCTCCCTCAAATAGGAAAAATAAGTTCCACTTTATACTAGGGCATAGTGACAGTATTGTAAATACTTGAAAGTTCGAGGGTAGTTTTGTAATTTTGTAAATTTGTGTCAGGATCAGTCTATGGGAGGCAGACCGGGGTCTGGTTCAATGATGGGTGGTTCGGGTCAAAAGGTGGAAGATTGATGGGTCTGACCGCTGAAAAAGGTTTTGTATGAACAAGTTACCAAGATTTGTTAAAATGAAATTTTTTTAAATGGAAGGGTAAATTAGGGTATTTTTTGCTGAAATTTTATAGGGTGGGGTTTTTAGACATTCAGAATTGATTGGTGGGGTCAAATTGGCCCAAATAGGCTCGAATTGGGTATTATCTAAAAAGGGCTTAATTTGGTTAATTTTGGTTTCAAAACAAAAGCTCTGTATGATTGAGTGGCAAACAAAGTCTATTTTGGATGAAATTTCACAAGATATGATTTTTTGGTAGCCTAAGGTGATTGGTAAGGTTGGATTGAGCCAATTGGGCCTAAATCGAGCAGATTTGTAATCTGGTCAATCTGAAACCTTGAAATATAATCTTGGTGCGATTAAAGGGTAAATGGAGGTATTTTGGGATATGATCTGATGACGAGGTCTGATTAGTCTTAGAGAGTCAAGATCATGGGAATTTAGGTCAACCGGATGTTCTATAATGAAATCTTTGTTTGATAGAAGGTTAAGTGAGAGAATTTGGGGGTGAAATTTTATGAGCAGTTGTTTTGATGTACCTAGAGTTTAAAGATGTGATTTGATTGGTTTGAATGTATTTGAATCAGGGTGATTTGGGTAGTGGGTATTTAGGCTAACGAGAGAGGTCAAAATGGAATCTTCGTTTGATAAAGGTGTAAATGGGGGAATCTTGAGATGAAATTTTATGAGTAGGTGTTTTGGGAGGTCATGGGTTAGATGGTTGTGTATGATATAATGGTTGGGGTGTAAGTGAGGGGTGGTCGAGGCTATTAGATAGGTATCGAATAGATTTAACGATGAATTTGGAGGCTTTGGGGTTGAAAGATGAGATTTTTTTTGTGTTTTTGGAGGGTTTGATCAAACGTTCAAAGTGAATTAAAGGTTTAGGCGACGAAATAGATCAAGATTTAAATGACATTTAATCTGCCAGGAAAAAAAAAGGTCATTTGATTCTTATAGAGTAACATGAGTTTCCGCGCTAAATTTCATGTTTGTTTGTTTCTCAATTCAGGTTCTACTACCTTTACGAAAATGTAGACTTACATATAAAATTACACCGTGCATGCATCCAAACTTATATAGAAGATTACATAACACATGTTACATACAATCATGTAGCAACTAAGTAATAATTAATTAGTTATTTATTACCAACAAAATAATTAATTAATTAATAGTAATTATTAATTATTTTATTAATATTAAAATTTATAATTTAATAATTATCTCCACTAATAATTAAATTAATTATTTTTATTACTACTTTAATATCAAGATTAATTAAAAACTCCCGAAACTCAGTTAAAAATCTATTATTTATATATTCATCATTAAAGAAAAATTACCAAAATATATTACTATTTTTAGTAATTAATATTAGATATATAACCAACAAAATTTTAATTAATTACCAATAATAATTAATTATTTTTATTAATATTAAAAAATAATAATTAATAATCATTTTCATAAATAATTAAATCAATTATTTTATTACTATTTTTAATAATTAATAATATTACAATTGTAGGAGGGGTAAGGCACAATTAGGGAATGGTCTATTTGAAAGACAGAGAGAGGCATGTGAGTAGGGAATGAGATTTTTGGATAAAGGATGTGAAAATGGGAGAATTGGAGAGAATGAGAGTACTCGGGAGTGCTAGGTGACAAATGCCAAGGATTTTATGATTTTCAATACGAAGAGGACTTCTATTTTTGGGGGAAGTCTCGAGATCCTAAAAGGTAGAAGAGGGTATTCGTGCTTGAGACGGATATAGTGATAGATGTCGGACATTGGATTATTATGTATAAGATATGTTCTTCTTAGACACAATTCTCAGGAAGTCTTTGATTGTAAACTCTTCGGCTACCATAATTTTAGGGTAGGCATTGTGTATTAGATTTGTTCATTTGCATGACTTGGGTGGTGGGAATAGTATTATGTTATTTGAAACTTACATGATTGAGATTTGTGCTTGAGACGGATGCAGCAACTATCAGTTTGGAGACTTGACCAAGCCAAGCCATTGATGGGATTTTTGGGTCTATGCAGTACGAACTATCTGTCATTTTACAACTGTCCTCATGAGGAGTTGCACCATGCTTTCTCATTGCTTGATAGGAGCTAATATTGGTGGAGGTATATTGGTTTTTGGGGGGATTGTGGAGCCAAATATTGTCTATAGTCCTCTTGTTCCAAATCAGTACATCCTCTTCTTGGAGCTATTATCTTTTATTTACCATTTCTTTTCTTTTTATGCAGCCTAATCATTACAGTCTCCTTTCTGATCTCAAGTTTGTTTTCTGGATTATTAGTACCACAAAAAATTGTGAATGGACATATTGGAAACACTTGCATTTTTTTTTTTCTTTTTTGTCTGTAAAGGACATTTTTCTTTATTTTGGAACACATTTATAAATTTTAGTGGTTGAATGTTGCTAATCAGATAAACAGATAATTATTTTTTATTCTTAAAAATACCGAATTTGTCCACTAGCACTGCCTTGGGAAGTCTACGCTTCAAGCAGAGAAAAAAAATTAGAACCCTATTAGTCAATGATCTTTACTTACCTATAGAACTATCTGGTTAAAGTTTGTTTGCTTCCTTCGATCTATTTCACTTATATCCTAAGTTTGTGTTCATCATATGGATCTTTATATAGTTTGGTTAAATCTTGTTTTCTTCCTTAAGTTTGTTCATCTCGCTCTAAAAACATTTTTTATCACCATCTTACTCTACTTCCCCCTCATTTTATCACTTATTGAGGCTATTCCTAGATTTCCATGAGTATGCTCACTTCTAATCCTGTATTTTCAAGTTTTAACCTCTAACCATTTCAACATTCATATTTACTTTCATGCTCATTTTTAGACAATTTTTTTTTTTAATTTCTTGATTCTCTTTCCCATACAACAATGTTGGCTTTATGGCCATTTTATAAAACATTCCTTGTTTCCTGAGTGGTATTCCCCAATCACTCAACATTTTGGGTAAACTAACTGTATGGGCAATATCCTCCTCAATTCTCCCTTGTTATGAATTATTGAACCAAGGTAATAGAAGAAATTATAGAGCCATATCTTGGTCTCCAGTACTAATATTACACTATTCTCACACTAGTTATATATTCGCTCTAGTTTTGTCAATACATGGAATTTCCTCTTTGACATGTTTAATCATCCATCGATGACTATGTGACCAAATAAGGGCTAAGTTTAAATCTTTGATGAAGTCTCATTATAATTAGAAACTTTGATGTTTCTCCCCTAGGTGTTTAACACTGGTCATTTTGCCATCATATATCTTCTTTGGTCCACATATCTATTTGTCATTCACTCATTTATTTCTTTCCCAAAACATGCCATATCATCTATTCCCGACTAAACACCAGTTTATCTTAAAGCATTCATACATCTTTTATTATTTATGAGGTATCTTGTCATAGACAACAATCCTTGTATATGAAACATCCAATGCGAGACAAGTTTATTATTATAGATAATCATCTCTTATTCAATTCCATAGCTATTATTGTTTATGTGCATAAGAAAAATCAAATTTGATTCATTTTAATTGTGGTTCTACATTGGGTTTGATTCCCTTTTGCCTCAAAACTTGTAGGCCTCAGCAAATTTTGCCCATTGGTCTAGCAGTTTTTGCTACTTCAAGCAATAGAGGAACCATAGTTGATTCTGGAACCACTTTGGCATACCTTGTAGCAGAAGCATAGGATCCATTTGTCAATGTTGTAAGTTACAGGAACACAATTTTTTTAACAATCTAATTGATGTGAAACACTTTGTAGCGGGCTATGGAAAGGATTATAAACCTGCACCTTTTATTTGTAAAAGATTGAAGTTAATCAACTCACTACTTAGTTTTCATTGTTGGAGAAGGAAAATGGTGAAATAAATTATATTCATGATCTCTGAAGTTCATTTCTCCCATTTTTCTTTAATGTTGTTTCACAATATGTTCATTCATTTCCTTCTAAAGCAAATCTATGTTATGAAATCCCTAGCATGTACCAGTGTAATACAACTTCCTATCATAATGGATGCTAGACTTTAAATAGGTTCATTGTCAGATCCTTAATTTAATATTTGAAATGCACATGTCCTTTGCATTCAGTGTTGATGGGATATTCCTTGCAGTCAGATTAAACCATGCTGGTAGTGCTGCCATGATCTTAATTCCCATGAAGTACCTCATAAAACAGGGTGATGTTGTAAGTATTTTAACTTTTGATTTTTATGAAAAATACATATTATATACTTCTAGGGATGGTTTTATTCTTTTTTCTTTTGCATTTTTTTGGGTAGTAGATTGAATGAAGTATTGATGTTACACCACCAAATGGTTTCAATTCAAAATTCTAAATTTTCTCCCAGGAAGGGGCAGAATTATGGTGCATTGACTTCCAAAGAGTTTAGGACCAAGGGATGATCACTTTAGGAGGTTTGAATCAACTTAAATGTTTCTCCATTGTATGCTCTAGTCCAAAATGTAGTGAACGAGTATTGGTTAGATGTTAGCCTTTGCATTTATGTCATTTGTGCATATCCTTTTGGTTTCTAACATACATTAAAAATATATGTTTATATTTAGATGTATTATATGTAAATATGTTATTTATATATTTGTATACATGCCTAGACATCTACGTATTTGTATATTTTTCATAAAGTTCATCGTAAATAGGTTCTATAGATACCTATGATGTATATATGAAAGCATTATTCTGCTTAAAGTAATCATCCTTTAAATTACTATTCTT